ATAGAAAGTGTGTGTTGAATTCAGACCAGATGATTTTTTAATCAAAACAAAAAAAAAAGCCTTATTTCACAGAAATAAATTTTGTCCGGTAAACTTATTGTCCGGTAAATATGTAGGACCCCAGTACAGGTATATATGATTTACCTACATGTTATTCGGCATACATATGCATGTATATTACATTTTCTACAATGGTAAACTTAAATTTATTAGAATTGTATCACCTGGGCAATTGCAAATGTGCCAATTGGGCCAATTAGAATTTATCATTTGCACAAAAAGTTTCATATCAATTGTGCCTAAAATCATAAAGGTAAAACCAATAATTGTGATTTCAATTATTGCACCACTGTAATTGCAATTGGTACAAATGATGATGTAAATGGTGGTGCAAAAGTTAACTGTTTCGGTGCAGATCAATGGTATGTGACAGCAGTGCATTTAAAATGCCATTTGGCACAAATGAATTAGCCTTATCACCTGTAATTAAATACTTTACAGTAAATAGTAAAATCATATTGACTCCTGTGTGTGAAATATTTATGATAAGTTATTTGAGCAAACAAATGTATCTGTAATGAATGTATGATTTACTTAAAGATAAATTGCATACTAAACTTGCCAAAATTATGAATTCTCACTAAAGCTTAATCGAAATGAAACATTTAAAATAACATTGTTTTTCATTGTTTCCAATGTTTGCAAAATCCCATAAGAACATGACTTACAAAATATGCTATAGTATGTTTTTAAGTATTTATAGTTCATATCTATGAAGACCTGGAATTGACTTAACACAAGGCCTTTTTAACCTCTTACAAACTTAAGTGATTATTATAACAAAGTAACATGACAATGTGGAACCAAATTGTGGTTCAAATTACTTTCTAAACCAATATTCCCCTATGTCAGTGATAAACTGTGGGTGATACAGATTTTATTTCACTAATAAACCCCATTGAATAAAATTTAACACCAGACTCAATTCTTTCAATTATTCCCCTTAGATACCTTTTGGAACTTTGGTTGAGCTGATCCTACCAGTATGTAAGTGACAATGACAGACTTTCAAATGTCTGCATTTATAAATGTGATAACAATGTAACTGACATTTTACAAAAAAGATGAATATTATAAAAAAAACAGCTCTTTAGAACCAAAACCACATTAATTGAGGTATAAATAGTTGAAAAAATAATCTTGAGTAACTGCACTTACACACCTTTCACATTCAATTTTTTAAACATTTTAAAAGGTTTTTTAGCGTGAAACTGTTCTAAGTGACGTTTATTATAATATTTTTATCTGTGATGAATGAATCTGAAAATCAAAACAAAGAAGTAGTGAAAAATAATTGATTTGCACATATAATTGTAGTATTTAGTTAAAATATTTAGTAATAATAAATTTAAACAGTTATTTCCTTCTCCTGTAAAATGTTTGAAAATGCACTTACACTAGTTTCGCTTTCAGCCCTCGATATTGATAATTATACAATTGTCTACTATTTTTATGGAACTGCAAAATTGGTATTGTTCTGTAAATAGTTTAGTAAAATTGTGTCTGTAAATGGCAGAAGAGACAGGCTGCCTGAGGTGGCAGTCTGATGGCCTAGTTGACTGAGGAGGCAAATTGTCTCGCTGTTGGAAGAGGAAGCCTAAATTGCTGACGCCCTAGGCCTTAGGAGTTTGCCTAACGCCCTGATAGCCTAACGTTGGCAGCCTGGTATCCTGATGAGGCCGCCTCACATCCTAACAGCCTATCGATGTCAGCTTTGCAACCTTGAAGTTGGAAAATCTAACAGCTTAGAGTCGGCAGCCTAGTAGCTCAAAGTTAAATGACTTATATTATAAATATGGAAACAATTTAAAATACATTAAAATCACTATGAAAGGTAATGCAAAAAGCACATACACATGCATGATTATGGGAAAAAAAAATGCATTTACCTTTAGGACACTTAACTTTGTAGTCTATAGTCTAAAGCTGGCAGTCTAGTAGCCTGGCAGCCTAAAATTGGTGTCATGTTTTAAAAAATGGAACGATCAAATAATTAAAACGGCAAGTTGGATTTTTCCTAAAATCTACTCGTACAAATGGCTTCATAATTTACACATTTATTTAATCAATACAATAAACTTGATCCTGGCAAGTAACATTATTATTTCATAAATTTTAATCAAGTTATGTCATTTTCCAGCAGTTTGAGAATGAATATCGTTAACCTTAAACGGCAGTTTGGATTTATTTAAGTACTGTCTATACTTATGGCTTCATAATTTCCACACTTACTTATTTAGGAAAAGTTCATGATATTGCCATCCATTTTCCCAAGTTATATTCCTTTTTTTTCACTTTGAAAATAGGACCTTGTATGGTTAAACTATTCCAGTAAGTTGGATTTATCTTAAAAATTATTTAATGATATCCTCTATATAGGTGGATACCATAAATGGTATTTTTTATGGAGTAAGGGGTCCCTAGTGTCAAGGTCACAGGTGTGATTTTTATAACATACATATACAAACATGCCAAGGGAGGTCCTCTTCCTGTGGGTTTAGTTGGGGGTCACCAATGCCAAAAATAGATTTTAACATTTTTACAGGTGTTTTAACATTATTCTTTTGGAAAATGTCTTTTATATTTGGTAGGAACATGGAATTGAGGTCTTCTCCTTTGGATAGAGTTATGGTTCAGTTGGGTCAAGGTCACCAGTTCTGAAATAGATTTCTACTCTTTTACAGCCTTTATCTATTGACAAATGTATTTCATATTTGGAAGGTAGATAACTTGCATGGTATTCTTCCTTTTGATTGTGGAAGGGATCAATTGGTCACGGTCACAAATGCTAAAATAGATTTAAATTTGCAGGATGAAGTTCACACAAACAGTTTATGCTTTTATCAAATTTGCTAGTCGTATGTGTGTTTTTATTTCCATTTTAACGCCAGAAAGGCAGTGGTCATTCATATTATTGTTGCGATAAATTAAAAAGATGTTTTCTTTACACATCTGCTTCCATTTTTTTGTTTTGAAAAATAAAGTTCTTAAAATTATCTTAAAATAGATACACTATTGTGCGTATCTTTGTATTTTATGGTCATTTGAACTTCACTATGACGTACTCGACATGCGCATTTAAGGACGAACATAAAAGTGGTTACAGATATCTAACCAAAATACCGTCGCTACATATGTAATATTCATGTCTTGTGTTTTTTCGAAAAGTCAGATTTTAATTTCATTGAAATATTTATAATAAGGGCGTTACAGATTAAGATTTTCATAACAGCAAAGCAATGATATAAAAAGCCTAAATTCTCTGGCCAAAACGGCTAGCTGTCTTCAGCCAAACAGCAAGGCCAATATGAGCTTAATCAATTATTTGAATTCTTATTATATGATATTTACTGAGAATCTTTCATAGTTATAAAGCGGACTTTGGCGAGTAAAATATCACTTGCCACAATGTCAAAGCGTAAATAATGTTTGACAAATAGTAAAATGTACTAAATCTTGTGTACTTATTTTAACTTTGACATCTGCTTACTGTGTGTGAATTTGCGTTTATTTATACTCGCCACCGGTTGCCCATATGGGCGAGTCCTCCAGAAGAGTACAAGTCATTTTAGATTTTAGAGGATAGTGCAATTACAGATTTAGAAAGATGCTCCGATTCCAGACGCTTCCCCTTCTTTAAAGTGCCAAGTTGTTTTAGCACCCATACACGGGACCCCGATTTAAAGTATCATCCGAAAGACTGATAAGTAATTTTAGTTGGCCAGCCCGGGAATAGAACCAACAAGGTCGAGGTTACAAGTCTCGAGCTCTATGCGGGCTGGCTGCTTACAAAAATTCCGGTGCATATAATCGTAAAATTCGCTCATATCTAGCACCCGACTGCGGATCGAATACTACATGATCAAGGAGTACTACATGATTTTTTTCTTTGATTTTCGTATTGAACGTGCATTTCATACTATGTTTTTCACGTATTTGCCGTTTCAGTTAAAATAAAAAAAAATTGCCTTGATATTCAATCTATATTTTCACGTTTGAAGTGAATATTTGTGATGTTGTTTTTATTTTGGAAAAATAAAAAGGGAGATATTTTTAGAAAAAATACCTTTCTGGGTCATCTGTCATTTAGAAATGCATAAGTACTTTCATATGAAATAAGTATTTTAAGTTTAAAGTGAATATGTTTGAAATAAGCCGTAACCAAAAGGTTAATCAGAGCGAAAACATCTTAGAGAAATAAGGGGAATAACTTAGCAAAATATAACTAGGATTATGTGCCTTTTATATTGCATCATATGAGCATAGTGAACAACTAAACCACTTTTAAAGTAAATTCGGTAGTTTCTGAGAAAAAAAATGAAATGACTTAAACCAAATTCTGAAAGGGCGAAACAATTACCATTATACCTTTAATCTGTTGTCAATCAGGGTTACAAACGAAATGTTAAAGAAAAGAAAAATACTTATCTATTAAGAATTTAGTATCAATTATCCTTTCTAGCCTGAAGATTTACATTATATAGCAGCTTCAAAACCTCGAAAATTTAGGTTCATTAAAGAAACCAAGTAAGACAAAGATTTTTTTGTGTAATTGCAACTACAATTAAAATAACTATGAGAATGTTAAAAGGTAACATAATTCTACTTTAGAAATGATTTTAACATGAATTTACATCTTGCGACATTAACGGTAGTGTTGCGACATTTAACGGTAAGGGAAATTCGTGCGACATTAACGTTAACATTGCGTACATTTAACGGCAAATGATTTTGCGACATTTAGCGGCGGTTGCGGCATTTAGCGGCAATGGTGCGACATTTAGCGGCAATTGCGACATTTAGCGGCATTGCGACATATAACGGCGCCACAGTCATCTGTCAATGAGGCTTCCTTAATATCTTCATATGAGATAGATCTTTAAAAAAATCTGATCCTAAACTCCAAAACTTTATTAAAGACACATAATGTTTCCTTTCAGAGTTGATTCCGTCACTCCACGGTCTTTATCGTCATCCACGTCAAATTCCAGTCTTCATCTGAGCCATTTAAACCTAATACGAGAAGACACGACGAGCTCAGTGATATTAGACCAAAACAATCCAGCTCCTTGGAGCATAAAATCCAAACTTAAACACGAAAATGGACCCAGCTATAGTTCTAACCCTAGTATATTTCCACCTATATCAGAAAACGGCACTTTGGTTACTCCAAGAGGTAACTCTAGCACCACACAGAGTCACACTAAAAAGAAGAAATTGTCGTTCGGTAAGAAAATTCAACGTCAGAATTCTATTGAAGCTAATGAGTCTGAAGTGAAGAATAGCAAGTACGAGAAAGAAAACAATACTGAAAGTGAATCGGAGAAAGCTAGTGCTCGGTCTACAACAAAGGTTAAACGTTTTGGGTCAGTATCTAAGACTGGGGGAGGCATTAGTAATGGAGGATCGGTAGTACCAAAGCTAAAGCTGTCTGAGCAGCCACAGAGAGCCTCAACTCCAGTTAAACATCACATGAAAGTCAAAGAACCCGATGAATGTAGTACTCCAAGATCAAATATGTTTACAACTGTTCAATAAAATGTTATTTACTTGTTCATTTATTTATTAAGTTTCTGTTGAATCACGTGTTATTAGTTAATCATTACCCTGTATGTTACAACTGGACAATTGTATTAACTGTTTTCGTATGAAATTCTCCGTAAAAAAGGGATGAAAGGTTTTGTCGAGTCTGAAAGATTGACATGTCAATTTAAGATATTAAATGTTGTAAATGTAATGGCGAACTGTTTTACCAGTTTATTTGAAGTACTCCTTTGTGATTGTTTTGTACATTTGTAATGTGAATGTTGTTACGTGACTCAAATTATGTGAGAGCTTACGAAATTCTTTAACTTTTCTCTCTTTGATAATTAAAGAATTTTCGTCCTTATGTTTTGTTTTCGATAAATAACCATTTTACTGGATGTTTTATTTGTTTTCTAATAAAACACATTGTCCCTGGCGTATTTTTGTATCTGGCAAACATAATAACACGTAATAAGAATGATTATTAAAAATAAAAAGAAAAGGAAGAAGAAGAAAAAGAGGAAATGACGATTATTGGCAATGTAGCCAACATCGGTGAGGTGCAAATATATAATTTGCCATATTAACCTTGTACGAGACATGCAATTAAAGGCAGGAGAAGCACAGAACTACTGACTAGAATACGTTATTACTAATTTGTTTAAACTATTTTGTAGGGTAGGTATAAAATTAATAGTCGGCGTCGATGAAAAGATGAAGTAACTGATCAAACTCATTCAACTTGTACTTTCACGTGCTTTTTAAAATATCTCTTTACCAGTCTATTGATGAAAGCAATAGAAACGTGTCATTCGGATATTCTTACAAAATATTTATTAAACATAAATGCTTATCTAGTTCTTCGTGATTTGATAACACATCTATATGATGAATTACTAATGGGTTTTTTTTTCCAAACAATTTATTATCAACATCCACATATTATTATTTTATGGTTTGTTATCACACATGATGCTTTAGACTATCAATATATTCGTACTTTTCATCATAGACCAATACACTTTAAATGTCCTTTTTGTTTGCAAATAAAATGTTTAAACTATTAACTGGAGTACAGTAGAACACGAATGGTAAATGATAGAGCTACATGTACCTCTTTCGGAGGTATACGGTAAATCGCTCTATCGCTACTTCCCAGCTAGTGCATGTCGTTGTGTACAGTGAAAAACAATTAAGTCGATAACAATTTGAACGCTGTAATTATATATAAACAATATACATGTATATTGTGTTTATTAAATTTTTGTGTCGTGAGAAATGTTATGAATAAAATATACACAATAAAACACTTTGTACGTAACCATAGAACTATCTCCTTGGCGACATGACTACCTCCTTCACGACAGAGCTGTCTCCAAGAACAAATATCCTATATTTTCTTTATTAACTAATGTTTTGATTTGATTTCAATCTTATTTCATCTTTAGACATTATATCTACTTGAAACGTATTTGTTTTTAATCCGAAATGCTGCTTATATGAAAATTGGAGGAAAAATAATCTGTTTCATGATGAAACGGCCCATTTCAACGCTGAATTCTCTAACTGGGAAACGCCGCCACAACTACATTTCAAACACAATTATAACAACATTCCTCCACGAGTCAAGCTTGAAAATTGCTGTATGACCTTACTTTGTTGTTGAGAAGTTTTAATATCTGAAAACTACCTAAATAGAATTTTTAAATATTATTTGGAGAAATAGAATTATTATCTCTTCTTTTTATTAAACTTAATTATAAGGAACAAAGTTCGAATTTGGTTCTTAATTTATAAGCTCCTCCTAATTATGATTATATTACTCAACTCCTATTAATAATTTTATGTCTCCTACTTTGGCTTTTAGAATTTCTTATTAAGAGTTTCACGTTATTAACAGGTTTATTACTCCTAATTATGAGGTAAATTTCCTAATTTTTTACTGGGAGTATGAAATTGTAATAAGGCTTATTGCATCTCCTAATTAGAAGAATCAAAATCCTAATTATACTGCATCTTAATTAGAAAGTCCTTTTTAGGCTTTTAAAACTCCTATATAGAAATAGGACATTTCTACTTTGACTTTTAAAATTATTTACTAATTAGAATTCGTTACCAAATTTTGTTGAGACCTTCAGACTATTATTATTTTAGAGTTTCGACCATGCGACCACATACATGCATCGAGGACATTTTAGAAGGAACAGTAACCGTGCGACCACATACACGCATCACGGAATTCCCCTTCTCGTATGAGAAAGGGACAAAGAGTTGTCTGCCCTTTTTTAAAGGGCAAACTTTAAAAACATGCCAATTCCTTATTCATTGATAAGGAGGCTAATTGTCATAGATATGTGTTGAATTGGTTTATATACGAGAACAGTAATACAAATCAAGTTGGGTAACAGTATTCGTCCTTTTAAGTCCGCTGTAAAATTTTAAAAAGATCTTATTTAATTTCTTGGAAAATTTTGAGTTTACAGTTTTTATCTAATTTCCATTCTATGTATATAACAGAATTATTAATTTTTTGCAAAACATGAACGTTTCAATGCATTAGATATGGGAGATAATTTCACACTTTGTTTGCAAATATTAACCTGGGGGCATACGTATTTGCCAAAGTACGCATTTAATTTCTATATTCGACTTATCCTACTTGTAATAGGAAATAATGTGATAAAAATAATTTAAGCAAGAGCTTCTGACAATTCTTACACTGGTAATACTGTACATATTTTCAAGCTCAATGTTAACCCCGCTGTATTGGTAAAATGTACTTTTCAAGCCTCTACTTTTTTTTAATAATGATAAAAGAGTAAGCTTGATTTTCTGTCAGACTGCTAGCAACTTTCAGTGCATTTTCCGTCATAACAGGCAGCCTCGAAATTACATTTCTGCATGCAATTACAACGGCAGCATTTTCACGTCGGACGCCTGTACCATTCTCAAGAAAAGACACTCTGGGTTGATTTTTTGCATACGTATCCTTAAGTGATGATTCCATCAGTAATAAGATTACATTTCAATTATAATTTATTCAATATATCAATATTGTCCCCCTCATGTGTTTAATATAGTTTCATATATATAGTTCAAGACACTAAATATGATTTACTCAATATAACAATACTGCCCTTAACATCTATTTGATATAGTTACACACTTCAAGTACATTTGTATAATTAATTCATTACAATATATCAATATTGCCCTATCATGTGTTCAATATAGTTACATTTCCTATATAATATATTCAACATAACAATATTGCCCCTATTTAATATACTAGTTACATTTCAAATATAATTAATTAAATATTGCCTTTATAATTTAATTAATATAGTCAAATTTTTCAAAATCATGTTTTCAGTATAACAATATTGCCATTAACATCTATAATAATATTTCAAGTATAATTTATTCAATATATCAAAACAACACATATCATCATAACACCAGTGTCATCTTTATTATATTCTGATGTTATTTTTCAAATAATAATAATGGTTCAAATCAGAAATATCATTATTGAAAATTAGTCAGAGCAGTTTAACTAATCACCTTATCTCTTACAATAAAGACTACGTGATACTAAATCACTTTTATCTATCTTTTAAAAACACAAACGCACTTGCGGAGTCATTAGGCGTGCCATTCGTCTTTTGTTTAAAGTTGTTATGCTTAAACGAAAATGTAATATAATACTTCATAAAGAAATTAAGGGACTTTTTCTGAATGATAACAACTATGGAATGTTTTCGTATATAGTTATAATTTATTTATGTATTATTCATAGTTTTGTTTATGGATTTTAATATTTTTATTATAATATTTAGACCTTATAATACATGAAAATGGTTATAAAACTAATATCAATTATATTGTTCATAGTGAAAAATATATCAGGTAAGTGCTGTAGTCAAAAGTTTTTTTAAATAGTTATCATGTCACCAGAACAATTGAAAAATTACTCTTAAAATTTACGATAAAAAACGAACTTCAATTAACATTTTTGAATATACTAGTATATGTTTTGTTTCGACAAGAACAACATACACGAAAACATATGAATGTAAATTTAAATTACACATAATAAATATATTTTATCACTCTCATGCATAGCAATGTTTTGCAGATAACCTCTTACTAATTTTTGCTATTATTTAAGGTAGCTCGCTATTTTCTCTACCGAAATTTGACAAAATCACAGATCTTGATTTTTTGGTACTCGAACATTTAGATCAGCAGCATTATTTTCTAAAGAAGGAGCATTAGTATGGGCGCTTTGTTGTCAAATTTTAGTCGGAAAGTAGCGAGCTACCTTCAGCATTTTATATGTTGTTTTGTTTTTGATACTCCGCTTACACATTTTATTATCAATATTGTATGTATATGCTATACACTGTCCTGTTCATTATGTGTATGTTTGTCCTCATGGACCCTCCCTTTGGTTTAATGGAATATTGAAAATTAACTTGTTATTAGTTTGTTTGTGACAAAGGGGTGAAGTGAATGGATTGGCGTAGGGGGGAAGCAGGGGGAGGGGGCAGAGGTTAATTTAACATATTAAAAATATTAATTATTAATAATGTACATGATTTATCTAGACTGACATACAAATAAACTTGTATATACTAGGATCCTGTGACTGGCCCGATGTCTTGGCTAATACGATATGGGATGACAGTAGTAAAGGGGAGATTACTTTCACCACAGATACCTTAACTGGATGGACATTCACAACTGCTGGTATTGACTACGATACCTGGAAGTGCCACTCAACAACACTGTATCAGTCGGACAACATTATAGTCGCCATGTAAGTACTTGTTAAAGAGTGCCATTGTTTTGACTTCTTTGAGTACACTGTCGTATGAAATGCAAGGTTAGAGTTCAGATGCGCAGTTATTTAAATTTCAAAGCTCATAAGCTGATAATGATAAAGACAATGATAACAAAAACGATAGAAATATAGAAATAAGAATATGATGATGATAATTATATATAAAAATAAGGTGATGACTACGATGATGATAATATTAACTATGAAGATAATGGTAATCATAATGATGATCGTGATGGTGATGACGGTGGTATTGATTACATTCATGGTGATGATGATGATGATGATAATAGTTATGCTCATTATGATTAGAGTGATAATGTTGTTGATGAAATTATAATGATAATAATGATGTTGTTGATGATTGTGATGATGATTACGATGACAATGATGTTGGAGACGGTGTTGACAAAGAAAAATTAACATAAACGTTATAAAGGTACAGTGTAGCCTCCGCAGAGAGGCCCTTTATAAGACACAAACCTCTTTGCAACTGTTACAGCAGAATCAGAACTTCCCA